GTTATTTTGTAATATGGAGAACAGAGGGTTGATAGGAGAAACACCCAGAAAAACAAACACACTGCGATGTTTAAATAAAGTCCCATGCGACAGTGGAACACACTCCCTCGGAGTGTAGTGGATTCTCCTTCCTTGGAGGTCTTTAAGCAGAGGCTGGATGGCCATCTGTTGGGGATGCTTTGATTTGGATTTCCTGCATGGCAGGGGGTTGGACTGGATGGCCCGTGCGGTCTCTTCCAACTCTATGATTCTATGATTCTATGATTCTATGAACCAATTTGGCTACGAGGTGTAGAATCTGGGGGGACTGTGGGGCATTTTGCAATGTTTCTGGAGGCCCTGGGCTATTTTAGACCTAGGATGACGTTTTCCAAAAGCAGAAAATGAATAGAAGTGACTTCTGTTCAGTTCCTGTTGCTAAAAAGAGCATTTCCTAGATTGAAAATGGCCTCCTCCACCCTCCCACACAGTGAAAATGCTCCCATGGCCTCCATTGTTTGACCCTTGGTGCTCGTGGGAGCCACAAAAACAGCCCTGTGGGTCACTTGCAGCCCATTATTTTAAATATGCTGTTTGTCACCTTGATCCCTATACTGGGAGAAAGGTGGAGTTCAAGTAAATAAAACAATAATAATAAAGCACTTAACTTTGCCCACTGCTGCCATAATGAGACCACTGTAAAAGATTTTTACTTATAATTTGCATGTTCAACACTTCCCTGGGCATTTTAAAGTTAAAAATATAAACATGAAAACCACACAAGTAAGAATATATATTAAAGAAAAGGGACAGAAAAACTCATCAGACAAGATTCAAATAGGCTTGCCTGGACAACACTGCCCACACTTACTTAAAAAAGGTTTAAAAATGAAAAGCCCTGGGAAAACAAAAGATCTTCACCCAGTGCTAAAATAACATCAATGTTGACTCCAAACAAGGGTTCTTGGGAGAATTTCCAAAGACAGGGACCATCACTGAAATGGTTGTCTTTACAGTTGCCACCTGTCAAATCTCAAAAAGACTGGGACATCACATGGGGGGGATACTGATGATGAATATATGATGCTGACTACACTGAATTAGACTCAATACTGTCTATTCTGCAACCCAATACTATCTGTTCTGGCTGAGAAATGGCTTTCGAACTGTCTTAGGAAGAGGTTGCTCCCATCAACTGCTGATTGATATTTCAACTGAAGATACCAGGGGCTTGAAGCTGGAATCTTCAGAAGACACAACAGCAATAATGTTATTCTGACACAGGAAGAAAAAAAGCGTTGGAGAAGTTTTAATTCAATATTGTAAAATGTTAGCTTGGCAACATGAATTTGTTGGACACCACCTGCCATTCTGACAACTGTAATATCAAAAAGGAACTTTTCTGAGATCTGAATACAAAGGGGTTTTCAAAGCAAATATAATGTATCGGCTAGAGAGAGCCATAACACACAATTCATCTTTAACATAGATACTTAAAGTTCATCCGAGCTCACCCTACCTTCTGATTTAAGGGTGATATAGTGTCTGTGGCAGAATCAACAGGGAAAATCTGGACCCGCTGTTCCGTGTACGTGTGGAAATTCAAGAGAGCTGTTACCAAATCTTGAACAAAGGATAGTGCTTGGCTGGCAAGGTCACGCAGCTTCAACTGAAGGGTACAAAGAGCAACGACGGGGCTCACCGTTACTTTGACAGAGTGTAATTTGGTTTACTAGAAGCCTTTCACAACATTGTTCCTAACTGATCAAACAGAAAGATGTACCAGGGAGACCCCTCTGCTGTAAAGGTTTTTCAGATGATGAAGCAGCAGAATAAAAACACGTTCCAGTTTGGATTTTCGCAGACATTTTTTAGCATCAAAACCAAAGTGTACTTGGTGGCGGGCATAAAACCTGATCTCACATGTTTTTTTCAACCAGGCATCCTGTTATCACTTTAACTGGTTAGAAAACCACATATCCATTGTGCAAGAAGAAAGCAGCACAACTTCCTTCCCTCCCCACTTCACTCCACAAAAACTGT